TACAGCCTGGTCTTGACCAATGATTTAAGTTTTACCTGTGGTTATGAGTCTTATACGACAGAGCTATTTCCTCTCTTCTGCTTAATTTTAAGTGCAATGCTTATTTTTATCATCTCTTGTAACTGTTCCAGTACCACATTTTGATAGTATGAAGGAGAGTGGCTATTGTGACATTATAATAGCCTTCATTTATTGAGAGCTTACTTTGTGAGAGCCAACACGCTATGTGTTTTACTTACATAGTTCTCACAACAGCCCATTGAGATAGATGTATTGCTATCCCCATTTTACGGATGAGGGAACTGAAGTACAGGAAGATTAAGTAAATTGCCCAAAGTCACACAGTGACTAGTGATAGAGCTGTATTTTTAGCTCAGACTGTTTAAGTAGGAAATTCCTATTTCATATACTACTATATTTCTTGTATATATATATACTATATTTCTTGTACTATAAGATTTTCTTTAACTCAGAGACCAAGAAAAATGATGCATATCAATCTAGCCATTCCAGTATCATCAAAAAATTACATGTGTTCACAAGCCATCTAGGTACTATGAATTCCCTTGCAGAAATCGTGTCATAATCAGCCTGTGGTAGGATGTTTCCCTGTGCTAGACATACAGAAGACATAAAAGAAATGGAAATTCTCCCTCTAATAGACCTGAAGATTTGTAGAAGTAGATAATTATTTTTGAGAGTTGGGAAGATAGAGTTGGTTCTATAGGGTTTGAGGGTAATAGTGGGGAGGCAATGGATAGTCGTCCTTGAAATGACTTCATTTCCAGACATTGTCATCAGATTTTAGGTGGGTCTGCCAGTCTTTGGGCTTCCCAGGTGGCACTAGTGGTAAAGAACCCACCAGCCAATGCAGGAGATATAAGAGACATGGGTTCAATCCCTGGGGTGGGAAGACCCCCTGGAGGAGGGCATGGCAACCCGCTCCAATATTCTTCCCTGGAGAATCACATGGACAGAGCAGCCTGGTGGGCTACAGTCCATGGGGTCACAAAGAGTCAGACACAACTGAAGCAACTTAGCATGCATGCATGCCAGTCTATCAAAAGTGGGCAGGCTTATCTCTAATCCCAGTTCCTCAAATTGAGAAAGCACTAGGCCACTCCAGAATTTCTTCTCACAGTCCTATTGATCAGATTTAGTGGTTTCCATTTCTTTCCATGTCAACTCAAATGTAGAAGTCACACTCTACAGGTTTCCACCAGGAAGCCAATCCATACCAGTAATGGCTTGAATTGTGTACTGCAAAAATTCATGTGCTAAAGTCCTGACCCCTGTGGCCTTAGCTGGAAGTAGAGCTGTTGCAAATGCAGTTATTATAAAAGATGCTGAAGTCATAAAGGAATGGGGTGAGCTTCTAATCAAGTACAACTGGTGTCCTTCTAAAAAGGAGAAATTTGGAGCAGATGCAGACACAAGGAGAACTCTCTGTGAAGATGAAGGCAGAGATCAGGGTGAGGTTTCCATACACCAAGGAACTCTAATGATCACCAGCAGACCACCAGAAGCTGAGGAAGAGGCACGGGACCAATCCTCTGCACAGCCAGAAAGAACCAACCTTGCTGATACCTTGGTCTTGGACATCTGGCCTCCAGAACTGTGACAATAAATTCCTGTTCTTTATCTAGTCAGTTGTGGGACTTTGCTATGGCAGCTCTGGTAAAGCAATACACCACCAAACATGTCCTGAGTTGGGCAAATTTTACTGAAGATATTTGGATGGAGCAATGTCATAGGAGGGATCACATCACACAGCCCACAGCATTCCCCCTAATTATATCGCCTCCTCTCTCCCTCAAACCTCTTTCCTTCACATCTCCTCCATTTTTGGTTAATCTCTAAATAGTCAGCTACAAGTTTGTCTCACTATTTTTTTCAGAATAACTTTTTTCTTTCTCCAAAGTTATGGCAACAACCCACGTCTAGCTCCTAGGGCTCAGCTTCTAGCCCAACCATTAATCAAAATACGCATCAAACACAAGCAGTCCATTCACTTAGAGAAATTCCTGGGCCAAATATTACAGTAAGAATATTTTCTAGGTGGCATGGTTTCAAATCTTGGCTCTGCTACTTGGATGTGTGAACTTGAACAAGTTACTTCATCTCTCTAAAATAAGAATAATCATAATTCACTGGGTCTGTCTTACATTTGGTGACCCCTCAAACAGACTTTGACACTGGTATTTGTGAAAGATGATGCAGTGAAGAAGGCTCCCAGGAGTAACATGAAAGAGAATGTGAGGTGCAGGAAGGGGTCTAGTGAGAAGTTGATTAGTGACTCAGGTACACTTGGGGCCTCAGCCCTTCCCAGGGGGAGCTGTGGAGCTAAATGGCCCTTCCGAGTGGTCTCATATGAAGGCAAGGGGGCTAAGACTTTGTCCCCTCTCGTGGCAACTAGTCATTAAATGTGGGTTACCCCCAGTCAAGGGGTGGTTGGTGAGGTAGCTTCCTTTGGCTGAAAGGGATTTCTTTTTCAAATCTTACTGGTTTATTTTTGGCTGTTCTTGGTCTTTGTTGCTGGGCGGGCTTTCTACTGTTGAAGTGAAAGTGGGCTGCTCTTCATCGTGGGGCATGTGGTGACGTCTCTTGTTGCGGAGCAGCAAGGCTTCAGTCGCTTCAGCACATGGGCTCAGGAGTTGGGGTTTCTGGGCTCCAGAGCATGGGACTCAGTAGTTATGGTACATGGGCTTAGTTGCTCCAAGGCATGTGGAATCTTCCCGGATCAAGGATCAAACCCATGTCCCCTGCACTGGCAGGCAGATTCCTATCCACCGGGCCACCAGCGAAGTCCCTTGTTTTGCTTTTGATGAGTGTAGGTGAGTCCAGTGTCAGACATGTTGATATCAGTGTTCAATGATACCTAGAGATGTCGAATGAGAACTTGAATCTGGAGCTCAGAGATCTATCTGGAAATATTCAGGAATCCTCAGCATTAAGGTGTTAATCATAGCCATGGAAGTGAGGTGAAATCCTATCCTAGTTAAGTGTGTGGAATGACAAGGCTAGGTATGCTAAGGTACAGTGGCAGAGGAAGAGCTTCTAAAGTAAGTTGAACAGGATGGTCAGAAAAGTAGGAGGAGGCTTCTGGTACTACTGAAGCCAAGCAGTGGGGTGACCTTTTGTGTTAACCCTTTAAAGTCTCAAATTTATCATTTTAAAATAATTTAGGATTATAATTAATGTATGGTCATTAATTTAGGAGAAGGTAAGAAGTGGCTTAAATCAGTCTATTTATCCTTTTGTGGGGAGGGTGCTACACCTAGTGTCATGTGGGATCCTCGTTCCCTGACCAGGGATCAAACTTGTGCCCCCTGCAGTCAAAACCTGCAGTCTTAACCACTGGACTGCCGGGGAAGTATCCTGTTGATCCTTTTTCAAGTGGGCAAGTGGAACCTCTTACCTCTTACTTCTGAGTGTTTTTCAGAAGAAATATAATTCACATACACATTTTAACAGTGTACTCTTCAGTGGCTTTTAGTATAATGACAAGGTTGTGAACCATCACTACTATCTAATTCAAAAATTTTTGTTACTCCATAAAGAAACCTTGTTAGCAGTCACTCTTACCCCCACTCCCCTTTCTCAGGTAACACTAAACTTCGCTATCTATGGATTAGCCTAGTCTAGACATGTCATATAAATGGAATCCTACTGTATATGGCTGTGCCTGGCTTCTTTCCCTTAGCATAATGTTATGATGGCTTATCCATGTTATACCATGTATCAGAATAATATTCCATTGTATGGATATACCACATTTTAATGTTTATCCATTTATTTTTCATGAACATTTTGTTTCTCCTTTTTGACTATTATATTCAATACTGTTATGAACATTCACATACAAGTTTTTGAATGAATGAATGTTTTTAATTCTTGGATATATATGAGAATGAAATTCCTCTTTTTGAGGAATCACCAGACTGTTTTCCAAAGTGGCTGCACCATTTTATATTCCCAGCATCAGTGTATGAAGGTTCCAGTTTCTCTACATGTTTGCCAAGATTTCCTTTTTTTTCCTAGTAATATTGAATCTTATTTGTAAAAAAAAATGCATATTTATAGCCATCATAGTAGGTGTGAAATGGCATCTCATTTTAATTTGCATTTCCTTAATGACTAATGATGTTCAGCATCTTACACGTACTTAGTCGCCATTGGTATTCTCTTTGAAGGAAGCCTGTGACCCTTTTTTGCCGTATGAAATCTGAATCTCCTTTGTTTGAAGAGTTAACATGGTTTATAATTAAAAGCATTGGAGAATAAGTCCTCATAGAGTGTAGGGGATCTCTAGTCTGATATTAAAGAATTTTAAATCAAGCAGTACTTGAAGAAGTAATATATTATTACTACTTTGGCTAAATATGAAAACTGATATTTTATGCCATATAAGTGGTAATTTCTAATAGGTTGTTTAGGGGAATAAAGGCACCTAGAAGACTGTGGTTCTAAGGTTTATGTATTACAACTATTTTGTGAATGAATTTGGAAAGTTTGAAAACAGTCAGTGACTAAATAGGATCATGAATACTACTCCTTATCAAGGAGAAAGGAAAGTAAAAGAGCAAAAGATGTGTGGAGAAGGAGGACACTCCTGAGCTTGTAAATGTGAAGTTACAATAAGCATAGAACAATGTATGAAGTCAACATTTTTTTTTTTTAACAATAGAAAAAGACCATGTGAACAATAAGAAATTAAGAATGTTAAACAAATATGTCTGCAAGAATATGATCCTACCTGCTGTCCTAAAGAGCAGATTGCATATTTTCTTTGCCTTAAGAACCTGTCATCCAAACGTGGTCAGCCAGCTTGTAAACAGTGAAGCAGGAGCGAGCGGTGGTATAAGCATCTCTGACTCCGTTGTGCTGTGTTGTCACTGCATCACCAACAGTGTTTCAACTCACTTTCCTCTTAGAGTTTGGTAGACTGAATCTTTTTGACTTCAGAACATCATATCTGAAGGAATTACTTATCCACTTAATGTAAGAAATAACACACTTGATTCTTGAAGTAATGTAGTGTTATTTTTTGATCAGTGTTTTTCTTATGCACTGAGTAGGACACTTGTCCAGTTGTATTTAAAAAAAAAAATCAAAAAATCAAATCTTGCAGAAGAAGGATATGAGTGTGTTGTGAAGTAATTAGCCTCCAACTAATAAAAATAAATGAAAAAAAAGAAGGATATGAGTGGATATACATGTAAGTGTAATAAAGTGGCCCCTTGATCAGAGGATTTCTCCTAGAACCTTGCTTCATACTGGTTACATTTTAATAATTCACATTTAAATAAAGCAGGTGGTCATTGATCTGTCTGCTGGAACTGACCCCATTTATGTCTCACATTTGTCATCTGCAGGGTGCACTCTCTGTGACCGAGCCTATCCCTCAGACTGCCCTGATCACGGACCGGTGACTTTTGTTCCTGATAGTCCAATAGAGAGCAGAGCCAGGCTTTCTCTCCCAAAGCAGCTTGTTCTCCGCCAGTCAATGGTGGGAGCAGATGTTGGTAAGACCCTGGAACCATAAAACTCGATCAAAGTCTCTTCTTCCTTTGTAGGGTAGAGTTGTAAAAGTGGATGTGTATACTTTAGAGATTACTTGCTTGATCCAAAAGTCAATTTATGGCTGAAGATTTATCCTTTTATGGAATACTTTTCCAGTGGTGATAGCACTAAATCAAGTTGAACACTTTATTGGAAAAGTACCCCTTTTTTAGGATCAGGATTGACTAGAGGAGAGAATCCTCAAAGGCTGAATCTTTGAAGACTTGGCTTTTATTTTCAGCTGTATCATCCACTGTCAGTTATCATGACAGATCACTCCATGAAACTTAGTTTCTTTTATAAAACACGGAAAATTCACCATTTATAACTTTTTATCACCAAAAATACTTCTATCAAATGTTTATAAATTGCTTAATACTCCTTAGGAAAAGAGAGTAAGAAATATAGAGTGCCACAGTATGCTTATCCATACTGGAATGTAACGTGGTATCTGAATTTTTGTGCCATTCTTTGAAGATACGATACTAGACTCATTGTTCTTTCAGGTGTAGCTTAGGCATCAGTCAGTTGAAAGTATTAAACCTCTTAGATAATAAAGAGCGGTGCTTTAAGCACAAGTGATCTTAAAAGTTTGATTTATTTTGTAGTAATTGCTTTACTTTTTTATAATTTGTCTAGTCCTTTTTATGTATCAACTTGGAGGGACATGGTTGGTTCCTTGTGTATAAACAGTGGTTCAGAAATTTCTGATACTGCTTCTCACTCTGCCTATTTCTTCTGAACCCAGTCTAATCTATTCATTACTTTTTCCTTATTTATAGAATAGAATTCATAAGACTTACCTACCTTTCAGGGGTGCTAGAATATCAGCAGTTCATAGATTCATTGAAAATAAGATTCTTTGCGTGAGTTAAGCTACTCTCTTCTCTATCCTATTAGATGTTTAAATCACTGATTGTGTAGTTGGTGTCCTTCCACTGCTAGGTGTATGGACTGGAGAAACCATCCCTGTTCGGACTTGCTTTGGGCCTCTCATTGGCCAGCAAAGTCACTCCATGGAAGTAGCAGAATGGACAGACAAGGCGGTTAATCATATCTGGAAGGTCAGTGTTGTTGAAATTTTTCTGTGACTTTTGGATGCTTTTATAGTAATGAAGTAGTCAAAAGCGATGTAAAAGTCAAACTTAGCCAAGATTCATACAGTGCCATTCATCCATCAGTCACTGAATACTACTTTCTGTTCTTGGTAGCCAAATTATAATACATAACAAAATGTCAGATATTGAATATAGAAGATAAACTGTTTTAGTCTCCATTTTGTTAGTAATCCAGTGACTACTCATTTTTATTACTTGTGGCAGCTCAGGCTTTGGACTTTGTTTATATGTTGAAAGTCTTAGTTTGTAATCAGCTAAAGCATTCCTTAAATATTTAGCTTGGGAAACAATTCTAGACTTGGAAGCTAAGATTATTTCTCTAATTTTCTAATGAAAGGGACTGAAAACTTAAGTTTCTGATATAAACACCTATTCCTATTACATGTTTGTATAGAATCTTAGTAGATTGGGAATGATGCTTGTTAACATTGAATTAAGGCGGAAGTGGGTCTTGTGATAGTTGAAAAGGTGCAGTGCCACTGGCATTGGGGACCTTAATTGTGTTGTCCAGATGAGAACACAGGAATGCTAGGTTCACTGGAGCAAAAAATAGGAAGAGGTGGTTCTCTGACCTTAATGTCCATTTGTGTGGTGGATGATGAAGACAACTAGAGTTTTTTATGTCTTTTCCAGTCAAGCCAAAATGTGACTAATCAAGAGCAACGTGATTCTGTATACTGAGCACTAACTGTAGGTCTCTAGTGGTCTTTATTGTATTGCTGGAAATAGGGTGACTGGTGAAATGACAGACGCATGAGAAGACAACCATGTATTTTCACACTGACTAGGAAAGCTGGTACCTACTGCAAAGTAAATGAGATTATTGCTAGAACTTGTCAGTTCATTTGATGTGTATGTTTGCCTTCTGTTGGCAGATATACCACAATGGTGTCCTAGAATTCTGCATCATTACAACTGACGAAAATGAATGTAATTGGATGATGTTTGTGCGCAAAGCCAGGTGAGAGTAGACTTGGATGCAAGAAATAGTTGATTCAGATATTTTTCAGTAGAAAACTTTGAATAAAATAGGAAAGAATTGAAGAATCCAGTGACAGTGATATCTGAACAGAGCTTAAAGCCTAAGGCTTTTTATTTTCTTCACCCCAGTAGTTGTTGACTAATGGTGATTATAAATTAAAATAGAAATTATCCCTTTTTTATGAGCAGTTTATTCAGTTTACCAGTGCAATAAAAAATGACACAGTTACCATTGAATTTGCAAGTAGGTACCTTTTCTTTATATTGGCTATTGGTCAGCCCCTTGGGCTTCCCAGGTGGTGCTAGTAAAGACCCCACCTGCCAGTGCAGGTGACATGAAATGCAGGTTTGATCCCTGGGTCAGGAAGATCCCCTGGAGAAGGGCATGAAAACCCACTCCAGTGTTCTTGCCTAGAGAATTACCATGGAGAAGAGGAACCTGGAGGGCCACTGTCTGAAGGGTCACACAGAATTGGACATAACTGAAGCAACTTAGCACACATGCATGCAATCAACCCCTTAGGCTGGTGTGTTAATTCTTATCGAGCTATCTATTTCTGTGTCTTTGTCATGTTGTTTTAAGACTTCATTTTACTTACTTTTCTTCTAGCAATAGATTAGAGTGATTCTGACTATAAAGAGCAATGAGCTGATATATTGAAGTAAGAATTCTGTTTCTAAACAAGTTAACCCTAACGGGTAATATAGGTAATTGGAGAAATGACCCAGAGAAATAGTACATCTCAGTTTTCGTATAAGATGTTGCTATAGGGATATGATGTGTTTAGTATATATTTCAAAATTAATATGCTTGATGGGCATTCCCTGGATGGGAAACTTGAGATTCCACAAGCTACGCAGTGTGGCCAAAAAATTTTTTTAAGTAAATAAATAATATAAAATTAATATGCTTGATTTGTTAAATGTGATAACCCAGGAATCGGGAAGAACAGAATTTGGTGGCTTATCCCCATGATGGAAAAATCTACTTCTGCACCTCCCAAGATATCCCTCCTGAAAATGAACTGCTTTTTTATTACAGCCGGGATTATGCTCAGCAGATTGGTAAGTTTATATATAAGACTTGTTTGTCATGAATGTGACACAGTAAAAATACGGAGGATCAGTAGTATAGTTTTGGTAATGATTTACGTGTAAGCAGAAGCAAATCACATGCCTTTGTGTATGTAAAAGCAGAGTATTAACCTTACGATAGAAGTGTTAAGATCTGTGAAGTTCTTCATGTGCTGAAGAACCAGGCAGCCATACCAGCCAGGCAGCATGAACTTTGTGTTAGGACTTTGATTTGGGGAATTTGAAGTTCCTGAGTTCCTTTTCGAATCATTCCAGTTTTAAGTTCATAAAGGACAACGCTGTGAGTTGGTTTAACCTTCATAGTCTTTCTTTGCACTGTGTCATAATGACAAGTGATGACACTCTGTCCTCTTTCTGATGTCTGCGTCAGAAGCATTCTCTGTCCTTTTTCACTGTAATAAAACTTCTGACACACACATACACACGAGTTTGCGTGCAACAAAATCTTCAGTTTTATGCCTAGGAAGATGCCTTATACTTTAATGATTACTAGGTGTTCCCTATGTGCCTGACAGACTATTTGAGACGCTGGGATTAGAGCATTGAACAAAATGTGTTTAATTTTACAGTTAGTGGGCAAGTTGGAAATTTTGATAGGAGGGGAAATTAGAAGCAACAATCACTAAGTTTTAAAATTTGAGTTTTAAAATTGAAGTAAGTACATTGAGTAATTTTTTTTTAAAGGTGTTCCTGAACACCCAGATGTGCACCTCTGTAACTGTGGCAAGGAGTGCAGTTCCTATACTGAGTTCAAAGCCCACCTGAGCAGCCACATCCATAACCACCTTCCTAGCCACGGCCACAGCAGCAGCCACGGGCCGAGCCATAGCAAAGAGAGGAAGTGGAAGTGCTCCATGTGCCCCCAGGCTTTTATCTCTCCTTCCAAACTTCACGTCCACTTTATGGGTCACATGGGTATGAAGCCCCACAAGTGCGATTTCTGTAGCAAGGCTTTCAGTGATCCCAGCAACCTGCGGACCCACCTCAAGATACACACAGGTAAGCTGTCTTGGACCATTAAGTGGAAGTTTGAAAAATTAGAAATTGGTAAGGGTGTGGCAGCAAGACAAGTCTGGCAAATAGGGTTGAGATCAGATGTTAGAGAATTGGCTGGCTGACAGGAGGACTTCATTGGGTCATGAATTGTGTGGAATAACTTCCTGCTCAGAGAATATTACTAATTTGCTCCATCTTCCAGGTGGCCTAGTCATAGTTTGAATATGACTGGGAAAATGCATTTAATAATCAGGGAATTCATCTGTGTGTTTGGACCTGAAGGTAATTCTTCAGAAACAGCTAGAGTGTACTATTAGAGGTCACCCCTGTCACTAGCCAGAGCCAGTGTCTATCCTTTGAATATTGTTTGTTGAACACCACCAGAATTTATTGAGTTTCTATTTTCTAAACCCCATGCACACCAAACCCTTTCTCTTAGGCATAAGTTTCTGTCATATGCACTATAACAGTAACTGGTTTAGTTTGGTTTTCTTGGTTGGGTCATTTTCTCCAAAACTTTGAAGGTAAAATTGTTCCTTATCCTTTTGCATTAAGACTGAGTAGTTCCAGCAGAGTGTGTGTGGCCCACAAACCTTAATATTTGGAATGGCTTATAAGAAAAGGTTTGCTAACCCCTGAGTAACTTTTTTTCTGCATTCTTAAAAAGATTTTATTTCATCCTTGGTTTATGAAGACATGTATTTTAAAAAAGAAAACTAAAATTTAGATTGTAAAAATATGTTTGCTTGTGGACAAGTACTAGAATTCTTGAGGTTTTTTAAAAAAATGATTGAATTAAGTTAGGCCCTAGGGTTATAAGTGATTTTTTCCCCCCAGAACTTGTATCATGTGTTAGCTGTAAACAGTAAAGAGTGTGTGTGTAGGTAAGCAGTCATAGGTCAGGTTTGTTAGCTTCTCTAGCACTCGTTGCAGCGTATAATTCAGGGGCTCTGAGTGTCTCTAGGTAGACAGTCCTAGAATGTGAGGCTCCGGTTACCAGTCAGTTCTGTTTTATTGCTGCCTCTGCCACATACCTGTGCACTGTGTCTCTCCATGCTGAGCGTGCTCGTGGCGCCTGACTCACAGTGTGACTGTGCGGGTTAATGTGCAGGTCAGAAGAACTACAGGTGTGCTTTGTGTGACAAGTCTTTCACCCAGAAGGCTCACCTGGAATCCCACATGGTCATCCACACGGGGGAGAAGAACCTCAAGTGTGACTACTGTGACAAGCTGTTCATGCGGAGGCAGGACCTCAAGCAGCACGTGCTCATCCACACACAGTGAGTGACCCGTGGCTGACGGCTGCTTGGGCGATGAATGCGGCTTGTGTGTGCCGGCTAACTTGTCTGTCTCCCGCTGTGGTGCCTGTATCCCCCGTGTTCCACATAGGTCACAAAGCTAAACTTCTGGTTTATCCTGAAAGAGTTGACGTGCTTGCTTTGTTTTCTCATTTTCACTTCTACTCTCTTTATTTCCTTTTTTCTTTTGTAGTTTTGAAACATAATTTCATTTAATTAACGACTTTTTAAGTACCTCCTTGGAGTCCAGCGACTTGCTAAGTGGTGAAAATACAAAGATGAGAATAGTCCTTGGCTTTAAAGAGCTCAGAGGCCATTAAGAGAAACAGAAGAGTAAATAATTGCCATGCTGTGTTGCAGGTGTTAGAGTAAGTGTAGTATCCTGAAAGAAGAGGGTTACCTCACCCAGTCTGTGAGTGTCCTGAGAAAGCTTCCTGGTAGTTGGAGCTAAGTATTAAGGTAAATTAGAATTATTCAGGAAACAATCTTCTAGACAGACGAAACGGGTTATGAAGAAACATGAATGTGAAAAAGACTGTGAAATAAGACTGATTCTCTATAGTGAAAGCATCCCATGTATGTGAGAGCGACAGAGGGAGGCAGCAACCAAATAATGAAGAGCCTTTTATCCAGTTCAAAATTAAATTTCATTCTGGGAATAATGGAGAGTCATGGGGCATTTTTTCTCCCCGTGTACCAGGAACTACTCGGCTTTGTGCTTGTGTGTGCGTGTGTGTATTTTCATTATGGTATGTAACACATAAATTTTTCTGTCTTAACCCTTTTGAAGTATGTAGTTCAGTGATGTTAAATGTATTCACATTCTTGCACAAGCCTTGAAGGATTTTAAGGGAAAGAATGTCATGGTGAGTTGTCTGTTTATTATAGAGACTACTCTGGCAGCAGGACAAGGGGGTGGAAGGAGGAGAAGGCCGAATATTGGAAGTTCAGTGATGTTAAATGTATTCACATTCTTGCACAAGCCTTGAAGGATTTTAAGGGAAAGAATGTCATGGTGAGTTGTCTGTTTATTATAGAGCCTACTCTGGCAGCAGGACAAGGGGGTGGAAGGAGGAGAAGGCCAAATATTGGACAGCCCATTAGGAATTTATTGCATGAATCCAACTGTAAATAATTGTCCAACCTGTGTTGGTTACAGTGACAAATAGAAGAGAGCAGATTCTGTGGTCCATCGCTTTTAGCAAATGTTAGAGGAGGGAGAAAACATTAGCTTGTATTTTATTTAGAAATACATCAAAAATGGAACTTTTATTCTTATCATGGGTTTTAGATAAATATTTTGCTTTCATATCAGCTCTTTTATCTGATTTGTAATCACAGTGCAACCTGAAACACTAAAATACCAAAGGAGTCTGGGTCTACATTCCTGACTCTCAGAATGACCTTTTAAAACAAAGTTTTCATTAAGTGGTTTCATTATTAGTATGAAATTTTAAAAATTAGATACATTAATTATCAAATTTTATATATAGTTTTACATAGTTGAAACTGAAAGAGCTCTCTGGGGTCATTTAATCTAGCTGCTTGACAAATGGATNTTTATATTCTTAAACTTCTGGAGTCTGAAAGTTGAGACCAGGGTGCCAGCATGGTTGGGTTCTGATGAGGGCCTTCTTCCTGGCTGCCTTCTTGTTATGTGCTCAGGTGGAGGAGAGAGTGAACAAGCTCTGATCTCTCTTTCTCTTCTTCTGAGGACATAACCCCGTCACGGGGGTCCCATCCTCATAACCTCTTCTAACAGTAGGTCCACACCTCCAGATTCCATCACTTTATGAGCTGAAGCATCAGCATACCAATTTAGGTATTCAGCCCCTAACACTGCTCATGATAGTCACTTGGGAAATGTGAGAAACAATGACTGGTGCCGAGGCCCCACCTCCAGGGATTCTGATCAGGGGCAGAGCCCTGGTCTTGGTATTTTTAAAAAGCTCGCCAGGTGGGTCTAAGGTTCAGTCAGGGTTGAGTGCCCCATTTTTTCTGTTTAACATGTTGGATTTTCATTAAGACACAGGGTTCAGATGCTCAAAAAAAGTTTAAAAATTCGTACTCTGTATGATCCCTAAGTTTTTTGTCAGCTCTAAGATGTCTGGGCCAGAGTTATTACTCCAGCCTTGACACTGTTGACATCTTGAATTGGATAATTGTACAGGCTACTGTTAACATTATAGTTAGATACCATTATGTTGATCAGTTGGCAAACATTTTCAAATTTGAGTCTTCCAGTTGGTAAGAATGTGGGGGCAACAGGAGCTCTGAAATGGCTGTTGATGGACGTGTATATTGAAATATACAACAGTGTTGGAAAACAGCTTAGCATCATCGTGGTAAAACTGAAGGTGTACACATCCTTGGATCCAGCTGTGCCTCTCCTGAGTATATACCCTAGAGGAACAGACCCTCATACCAGTGTAGAAATGTTCACATAGCAGTCTTGCCTGTGGTGATAAAAAACCAGCACCAGAGTACCCATTAACCACAGACAGAGCCAGTGCCACAGCCAGGTTGTGGTGTGTTCCCAAGTAGCCTCCTGCCATGGAAGCAACTTGATTCATTTTCAGAAAGAAGCAAAAACACAAAAGAGATACATACAGTACAATCCCATTTGCCTAGAAGTCTAAAACAGGCAAAATCAGTCTGTGCTGTTTACACTGCACACATGTCTTATGACTGTTCTCTATGATGCATCTCCTATAGAGAAGTTTGATTCTAGTTGGGTAGAGCTTCTCAGACAAAGGTCTTGAGGTTGTGCAGAGTAAGTGTGTGCCTCAGTTGTATTTGTAACCCCAAATCAAATGTTTTGTTTTGTTCTTTCCTTGTGTTCCTCTTAGAGAACGCCAGATCAAGTGTCCCAAGTGTGACAAGCTGTTCTTAAGGACAAATCACTTAAAGAAACATCTCAATTCACATGAAGGAAAACGGGATTATGTCTGTGAAAAATGTACAAAGGCTTATCTTACCAAATACCATCTCACCCGACACCTAAAAACCTGCAAAGGGCCCACCTCCAGTTCATCAGCACAGGAGGAGGAGGAGGAAGATGACTCAGAAGAGGAAGAGCTGGCGGACTCGGTGGGGACAGAGGACTGTCGCATAGGCAGTGCTGTGTATCCAGCAGATGACTCTCTCTCTGCACATAAATAGGAGAGAGAGAAGCTGACTATTCTGGATGGAAAATGCTAAAGGGAAAAACACATAACCAGTTATTCACTACAATGGTTTTTATATAAAATAGTTTGATTCCTTCCAGCCAACAGTCAAAACAGACTAAATGGGAATGGATAAAGCACTTATAGAAGAGTATCCTAATGAAAACACTTTTAAAAAGATTGAGAAAAGAGCACGTGTCCTCTTTTTAAGTGGTGTATGGGGAGGCAGGTGTCAGCTTTTGAGAGCTATTCTTTATTTACATGATAATCTGGGTGATAGCATTTATACCTGGGTCAGAGCTGCCCCTCTGCCCATCAAATGCGATTTATTTTAAATTCTTTGATTATTTTGTTTTTCTCCCAACCCATTGATTTGGTAGCAACCGTTGACTTGGTCCCTGTGTCACAGTCATCCTGATTGTGGTTCTGGTGTTATGTTTTATGCAGACTTGTGACTTAAACTCATCCCAGAGTGGATTGGAACGTAACAGTGTAAGCTTGTTACTCTGACCGCGGCTCACAGATTTAAAGCACCACCTGCCTTCATCTCTCCTGGCTGCTGGGGAGTTGAGGGTGGATCTTGCTTCTCAGAATCTCACAGGCTCCTAGAGGGCAGGTGAGAAAGGAGCAGTCAGGCAGCAGGCCCTGGTGGAGAGAAGAAAAGGAGAGGCGCCTGGGTCACTGTCCAGAGGCCTTCTGTCCTGTGCTCTGATGGAAGCTGGGCTGAGAGACCTGATTGTTCTGAGAGATCTTTGAAGGTTTCGACACATCTCTATCTCCAGTGAAGCCTCTAGCACCCAGACAGTATCTGGAGGTGTAACAAGCCAAGTAATGCCTGCTACGTTGTCTCCTGATAGCAAGGGCATGTGGACCAACTGACAGGGAGGTGCCTCGGCCCGTGGAAGGGAGGAGGGAGTGATCCTTTCTATTTGGACACTCTCTGGAAAGGGTCAAGACACCATCAAAATGTTGCCAACTCAGAAGATCCCTTGGTGCATTTGCAAGGTTAGGCGCTCCCAGCTGTCTGTGATGAAAGACCTCATCAGTTAAATACGCTGGATTCCAGAGGATTTGGAAAGTGCAGAAGGTCGAATGGTCACCACGTGTATGTATTTTCAGGGTTCCAGCTTAATTCACCTACCCATCCATCTGTCACCTGGTCTTTCTCATGTATAGCCTGCTTTCACCAAGAAGCGAACACATCCTGAAGTCAGCGGCTGATGGAACATGCTCTCCTGCTCTAAGGCGCAACCTCTGGGCTGGAGTGGAAAGGACTCTGGTGGGAAGGTTTTGCTGCTAATGTATTTATGGAATGAATGTATTTCATTCAAATCTGTATTCCTCTAGGAAGGATTAAAATAAAAACTTTTTAAAAAATGCGATACCTCTTGTAATCTCATTTTGTGGAAGGAGAGGATTGAGGCTTTTACGGGAAAATGAGGTCTAGCTTGAGTTTTTCTAAGGTCAGAAGTTGGAGAAAATATTTCCCAAGTACCTTAGCTTTGAAATTAAATTTTAGCATGCTTGCGCAGAACAGTGCTTAGACAAATCGTGCTTCCTGCGTCTCCAGCTCTCGCCCCTGCCCTCTTCCTTCCTCAGGTAGTGCCTCTTCTTTGCTGCCTCCATGGAGAAGTCCAGGTCTGCAGCCAAGGGAGTGGGTGAGGTGGTGTTGGTTAGAGGNAGGTAGTGCCTCTTCTTTGCTGCCTCCATGGAGAAGTCCAGGTCTGCAGCCAAGGGAGTGGGTGAGGTGGTGTTGGTTAGAGGTGGCTGTCGACATGAGGTCATGAGCCGCCGTCAGGGAGCACTGGTGGGGCTGAGGCAACGGCACGCTCAGCCTCTCAAGCTGGGAGAGGCGTCCTAGTGGCAGCCACTCCTGTCCCCGGGAAGCCACTGGTGCCGGAGCTCCAAGTGCCCTTGCTGTCTTTGACTCCTGCTGAGGTAAGCTTCATCATCTCCAGATGCTAGTTGGAATGCTGCCCAAGATAGTTAAAAGTGTTGGTTACTCAGTCGTGTTTGACTCTTTGTGACCCCATTGATGGTAGCCTGCCAGGTTCCTCCGTCCATGGACATCTCCAGGCAGGAATACCAGAGTCGGTATCCATTCGCTTCTCCAGGGGATTTTCTGGAGCCAGGAATCGATCCTGGGTCTCCATTGTAGGTGGATTGTTTACTGTCTGAGCCGCCAGGGAAGCCCAAGATAGTTGTTATGTCAAAGCAAACAAAAACGAGAGGATTTCTGAAAAATAGTTTAAGTGAGAATGAAGCTGTTTTTTCTTGCTAATGACTGTCTTCCATTTCTTTTTTTACCTCATGCTTAAATGGCACACTCTAAGTCTTTCTCACAAGATGAGGAAATAAGGAGCTGCCTCTTTGACAAGATTTTACTCTGAGCCTTTTCTGCCCATCACGTGTGGCCTCATCTGTTGCTGCTGTTGGGATCCAGCTGCTGTTGGGTGAATGGTCTCATGCAGAGGCAGGGTATTATAAGGGTGGGCTCCAGAGCCTGGCTGAGCGTTCTCTCATCTGGGCTTTGCTGCATGATGGTCTGGAAGCATACTCAAGTTATGTAACCTTCCTATGCCTCCGTTTACTTAACTGTAAGCGGAGACTACTCAATAGTTCGCATTTCATAGTATCGTTTGATGTTAATCCATGCAAAGGGCTGGCACAGTGTTTACCATACAGTAAACACTGGCTGGTATCCCTTAGATTTACCAGCATAGGTTTCTATGCTTAAAATATGGCCGTTTATGACCCAAGAAGTGCTGGATTTTAGTAAGACAAAACTGGCATGAATTGAGTTTTCAAGACCAAAGTCTAGAAATTCCTGACCTATATACACACTAACCCGTAAGCACCCTTTTAACTGTTCCTTGAGGAACAGAGGCATTGCTAGAACTGTCAGCTTCTTACCAAGTATGTAAACGTTTATTACTTGATCACCAAGCTGCATGTTAGAGTCAAAGACTCAAAAACATATCTTCAGGAACATAAATGATACCTGTTATGGGCAGAATTGTGTTCCTTCAAAGTTTGTGTTTTGAAGTTCTAAGCCCAGTACCTCAGAATGTGAGTGTGTTTGGAGATAAGGTCTTCAAAAGAGTGATTAAATTAAAATGAGGTCCTCAAGGCACATCTTTATCCAGTGTGATTTGGTCTCCTTATAGAAGAGGAAATTTGAACAGACAGGCGTGGAGGGAAGACTGAGGGAGAAGATCAGTGTCTGCAAGCTGAGGAGAAAGATCTCGGAAGAAATAGCTCTGCTGACATCTGGACCTCTGACCTCTGGCCTCCACATCTGTGAGAAGAATTTCGCTCATTTGGGCCCCCCAGACTGTAGTACTTTGTTGTGACCGCCCCGGCAAAGGAAATACTGTCCAACCGAACATGTCATCGTTAGGAAGATGGCTTATGGAGGAGCAGCTGCCTGGGGAGTGATTGCAGTTTCACCACAGTTTGACAAGGCATCAACTGCATCGTGGCAGACAGTCTGCAGTGGTGTGTTGCTGAAGCAATAGAATTGTTCCTTAGTTATTCCTTGTTTCTCTTGCATGTACACACTTGACAGTCTTGCAGCCCTCAGGCCTGTGTAGTCCTCCGACAAGGACAACTTTCTTTTCGAAACCATCGATTGGCAAACAAAGCCAAAATATTCATTTATTAAGTTCTGGCACAGATTGAAGGCATTGGAGGAGAACAGGAAAATGACCAGAAGTTATGCCCTTGTCCAGAAACTCAAAGATTTGCAGAGATCTGGATGCTTTGCTAGATCACCTGAGGAAATGAGAGAAGTCAGGTGTCAAGGGTAGCCGCAGGCTACTAATGAGCCTCCTGGACTCAGCAGGTGATCCTGAAGTGGTCCGAGGGAGTCTTCTGTTGGAGACCATGCAAGAGACTGGTGCAGACACCTACACCTAAGGTGAGCCAGACGTGGCAAGTGTTCCAGGTACAAGAGGTCATAAGATCTAGGGGCAGAAGTGAAAAGTGTCAGATTAAGAAAAGAACAGTAAGGAAAAGTGGGTGAGACAAGCCTAGATCTGTGGTGTAGTAAGAATGAGGCTGAAACTATACATTTCAGATACAAGGCCAAACATTTTAGAATGAGTAGTTTACCAGATCAGTAGCTGGTTTGTTGTTTTTACTGTTTTTAATTACAGTGATAGTGTTCACTTGTGGCAGTTCACATTGTTCTAAATGTGTTAAATAACACATTTAATCGGCACAGTAGGCTTGTGATGATCCCTAGTATAAAGAAGGCATAGATAGGGAATTCCCTGGTGGTCCAGAGGTTAGCTAGCACTTGTGGCTTTCACTGCCGTAGCCCAGTTCAATCCCCCTGTGAAGGAACTAAGATCCCACAAGCCAAAGAGCAGCCAAAGTTACATGGCTGGTAAGTGGGGTCTGTGCGTAGCCCACCAACCTTTATTGATTCTTAAGTAGTGGCCTGCCTAAAATTGGGATCTCACCACGGCCTACATGCAGGCTGCTACTGCTGCTACTGCGTCGTTTCAGTGGTGTCCGACTCTGTGCAACCCCATAGACGGCAGCCCACCAGGCTCCCCCGTCCCTGAGATTCTCCAGGCAAGAACACTGGAGTGGGTTGTCATTTCCTTCTCCAATGCAGGAAAGTGAAAAGGGAAACTGAAGTTGCTCAGTCGTGTCTAACTCTTAGTGACCCCATGGACTGCAGCCTACTAGGTTGCTCCATCCATGGGATTTTCCAGGTGAGAGTACTGGAGTGGGTGGCCATTGCCTTTTAGACAGAGCATATTTATATACATGAATTAGGGAGCTTGTGGAAAGCATCCTTTGGTCTGTGTTCTCTGCTGTAGCACCCCCCAACTATCCGCCCCCCCCCCCCTTTTGTCCTGAGGCATAGACTGGAGTTGGGCTTTAGGGTGGGACAAACGTCAAGATCTGTTGATGGCCAGAATGAGGAGAGAAAATCACTATGGGAGAGAAGTATTAACTTTGGGAAAGTGCTTTTTGACTGAGCTATCACTGGTCAGTAGACAACTTCTAGCCCTTCTTGGTTAACACGTTACAGGACATTTGTGACACATGTATTTGTGGATATCCTCTGTAACAGCAGAAGTGTATTTTAGTTTCGCATTTGTTTCGTCCTCATCAGTTCAGTTCAGTTGCTGTCTGACTCTTTGCAACCCCATATTATAAAAGTAGATTTTACCCTTATTTTATGGCTATTGAAAATGAATTTCAGAGAAAATTAAGATTTTCCACATTTCATATTCATTGCTTTGCTGCCTGGGAGCACTTTTTAAAAAGCACATTTTAAAATGTATGTATCTCTCCTCCAGGGATCTCTTCCATGTGAATCTACATGTCACCATTCTGACAGCTCATTTCAGGGTGCACCACACTGCTACCTGTACTAGTTGTGTATTTGTGCTGGGGTTGTGAAATGCATTTTTATAAGCAGAGGACACCATTACGGACCATTGCATTTAATTGGTTAGAGACATTTGGCACTCAGCTACCAAAAGTGAATTAGTCCAGAGCATGCGCGATAACATCATCTGTCAGGGACTTTTTCGAGATGCCTGACCTAGATAGGCTGTAGCAAAAAAAGCCAATAAGGCTATTTTGCATCTGAAATTCACAAATGCAAATAATATTTTGAAGCAAAAGAATAACAGGATGATCCATTCATTCAGTATATATTTGTTTTCTTTGAGAAAGGAACATTTTCGACTTTAATGGGGTAGGGGAGGGAGATAAAAACAATGGCTCATGACCAGGAAATCCAGTCTCCAGTTTTTTGTACATACATGTGAAAAACAAAATATATTCAGGATTCTAGTCCTTTCTTACATGTGTGGTTAGGATGAAGGGATACATCAGTGTTTTTAATAACAAAGACAAAAAACCTAAGTGTCCTCCAGAAACGGAATGTTTAAGTGATGGTGCATTCATACTGAGCAATACAGTGCTGCTGTGAAAAAGGATGACTGCTTCCCAGACTTCTTTAGAGCTAAGATTCTCTGAACAAAAGTTGCTCTGAACAAATGCACTTGTGTGAGACTTTTGTTTCAGAACTGAGATGGGGGAGCAGAAACAGGGAGGGCCTGAGGCATCTATTTATTATGTAGGCTTGGATCTTAACAAGGGTGACCTGGTTTTGGCGTTGGTGGCTCTGTGGATGGAGGCTTTCTGGTGTGACAGGTAGCTTCTTGATTGTAGAAGCAGCACCATACCTTGCAAACTCACTTCTGCAGTAAGGGATTAGGAGTCATTCCTAGAGTTCAGCTTATACTCCATTTCAAACCTTGGCAGTGATTCTAAGAGCTATCTATACTGCTTCCCTGGTGGCTCAGGGGATAAAGAATCCACCTGCAATGCGGGAGACCTGGGTTCAATCCCT